TTCATGATAATTTTAATTGATTTTAATTGTATGACGTATGATAAAAATTAATTGAAATTGATTTTTCGGTAGGCCTGGTGCAAATAGTAGTACTCTAAAATAAAAAACCCATGAATTTTATAATTACCGGTGATTAAAATTGTGGTACTAGTTTTAAAGCTATGTTAATTCTATGTATAATCTATAAACTTCAAAACGTTATACCTTTTTTTTATATCTAAGCAAATCGAATACTCATATACATAGAATTATCGTAGCTTTAAAGCTATATAAAATTTACGAGTTTTTACTTTAAAAATCAATATTTTAAAAGTAAATTTAAGTAAATTATAATTTAGCAACATAAGTCATGTTAATTGTACATCTAATTCACAAGTCAGATAATTAAATTTGTTTATGTAGAACATAATGCATCGATTATATAGTGCTACAACAACCTCAATGTCTAATCTTCGAATTGGATATAACGAATCTCTTTATACCGAATTCTGAACTCAAAATTTTAAATTTTATATTAGTTCAATATAGAAAACACATCATAATAATTTTCTAAGATAATGTGCCATTTTTTTTCAGAATCATCTGTACATTCAATTTCAAAATATTAGCACAATGTTTGACTTCACATAATATTTCGTGCTTTCTTCGATGATACCTCTGCTGGCGTAGTTTTCATGAAATGTTTTGATTTTTCCCTAACTATTGCACTTAACTTTTGTTTGTTTATATCAGGTTCCGGTCCCAATGTTTCTGTGTTACTTCCCCAGCCTTAAAAAAGAAAAAAGGAAAAAAAAAATTTTTTTAAATGATACTCAGATAAAATACATTCAAAAAAAAAAAAAAAAAACCTGGTAATGCATCTATCTTCCTCTGTTCATGTGGAACACGGCGCCACTCTGGATTATAATAATTTTTTGCCCATCCCCATTAAAACATAAAACAATGATCTTCAGCACGTGATATTATATCAGAAATTAAGCTACAAGTTAAAATTTCAACAAGTACCCCCCACCCAGGATGAGAAAATGGATAAAGTTTTATATATCGTCTCCTTAACGCGACTTTAACATCATTATCTTCTCGAACATCCATTAATCGAATATCTTCGAGTCCATGAGAAATATTAGTCGAATATTTGAATCTTTCGATGTTTAAAAAACAGTCGTAACCGAGAGGTTTTATAGAGGCATCTTTTATAAATCGAAACGAGGATTCGCAAATTATGATGTGTGAACCTTTTATCGAAATTATAGACGATTTTTTTTTTTCACTTGGATCGAATTTGTATGTTAACGGGCACAAGAAATTTAAAATAAATCCGCAAGTTCAATAAAGTATTACAAAATCTGTTTTCTATAAAAGATAAGGAATCAAAAATTATACATATATTATTAAAAAACAAATACCTTTCAAATTTTTTAATACATTCTTCGCTAAAGAAACATCGAATGTAAAATCGTTTATCATGGATTTTGGCACAGGTTTTTTCTTTCAAATTATCTGTTTCCAATCGAACTGTTAAAAACTAAAAAAAAAACAAAAAATTATCCCTTTAGCGCGCTTATTCTTTTAAACCTACGTAGATCCAGGACATTAGATATTGCTTACAAGAGCATACCTCAAATATCTGTGCTCTTATAGGCTTTTTGACAGGTTCATCAATATCATTCAGATAATTTAATAACTTTTGTTTTATCCATTGTTTATGTAAGAAACCTGACATGATACATAAAATAGAAACTTTATGAAGTAATTCGTAAAATGGCTGGGGAAAACGCCACCTGTGTGTATATACGATTGAAAGACCAATCATACCATTCCTTAAACGGTCATACAAACCACAAAAAAAAAAAAAAAAAAAAAGTAAACAATCCTCGCGAATGCCGCAAATTCGGAGTTTAAATCGTTATCCTCGTGATCTCTCGATGAAAATGCTTTTATTAATTTCTAGTTTTTTTGATTGAAATAAAATACAATGGTAAATAATATAATGCAATAAATGTAGTATCATATTATTGTAATTTCACCCCTGCGCGTTATTTCGCGAAAATACAGTAATTAAATACAATACTACGCACTCTCAAATTCTGGTCCAGATACAGTCAAACCTCGGTATAATCACCAGTTTGTAACAAAAATTCAATGTAAACTAAGGTGATAATGTCTAATTTTCTTGCTTTATAATAAGGGGAGTGCCGTTTATTACGTAATTTTTTAGGGGAGGGGAGGGTCAGCAATTTATCACGTCTATATATTGAATATAAACCTTATGATTGGTTACTGATTTTATCACCCGGGGGAGGGGAGTGGATGTAACCTTCTAAGAAATTGTGTGATAAATGGCACACCCCTAATTGGTAAAACAGTTTTTTTTGACTATATCGAGGTCTGACTATTATGGCAATTTATGGTAAATTACCAAAATGGTAAGTTACTGGTAAGTTACCGGTGACAGTAACCTGTATTTTATTCCGAAAGTTTTCCGTGTTTGATGTCAACCATCACGAACATTTCCGATAATGGTTGCAAGCAGTATATATTCAAATTTAATTATATACTTGGTTTTATTTATACACTGGTTGCAAGCATTTGGTAACTAATTATCAAAAATTCATGGTAACTTACCGGTAATTTACCTAAGTTACCAATGAAAACCCTGGTATATAGATCCATGGCTAGCATGCTTAAAATTAATTAAAATAATCATCAAATTGGTTTTATTATTTGATTATTAACAATTTTAACGATTTTAATGGTAATAAATTTTAATAAACTAGTTGATCAATAATTGTCCGGAGCGAAGCGGAGGACACTCTGTTTTTACGATAGCCTGTGATCATCTATGATATTCTATTACATATTTGATTTTACCGTTGTACAATCATGTAAGATTTTTAAAATTTTGTCGATCAATTTGTTAAAAAATTTATAGTAGTAAAACTATGTATTTTTAAAATGCTATAACGTCCTTCCTAGCAAAGTACATTCGATTCTGTAACTTGCAAATGATATAAAAATAGTGTTGTTTTAAAATTATGATACCATGTTTAATATTAATATATGAATTTTAGTAGGTCTCTATAATATAATTGTTTAAATAATATCTTTAAAACGTTATAACTCCCGCTTTAGTAGAGCAAATTTAATTCTGTAACGTGTAAATGGCGTATAAATAGCTTGCTTTTAAAACTATGTTGCAATATTTAATATTAATATGTAAATTTTAGTAGTTTTATATAATTTAATCATTTAAATAATTGGTAAAATTTATTAATTTATAATTTTAGCCACATTAATAAAATGAAATAAAAAATATCTCAACATAGCTTTAAAAGCATACTATTTACATATCATTTGCAAGTTACATAATTGAAATTGCTTTACTAGAACGGGAGTTATAAAATTTTAAAAATGCATAGTTTTTATTATAAAATTACTATGATAAATTTTTTCAATAATTTGATCAAAAATCTTTATTAGTGGGCCAATCATATAGTGCTGCACTATGATAGTAAATCATTTGGTATGAAACACCCCAACCTAGTATCCATAGGAAGACTTTCGTATGATTGGCTGTTTAAGTCTATTTAATTTTACATTATTTATACAGTTTAAAGTACTTTTTAAAAAAAATCAAATTACGAAGAATAAACAAAAAAAGAAGTATATAAAAAGTTTTATTAGAGTTGTAGGACTCCATCATTAAAACGTCATATTGATAGTATCGAACTGATGCAATTTAAAATTTGTTTAACTAAAATAATCAAAATCATTTTTGGTTTTAGAAAAGTTAACATAATAGCGATTTCTTAAAGCTGTAAAGATAGATAGAATTAGTTATTACCATGCTAACTTCTCTAAAACAAAAAGGGATTTTGATTATTTTTAATAGTGGAGCCCTACAACCCTATTAAAACTTTCTATATACTTCTTTTTTTGTTTGTTCTTTGTAGTTTGATTTTTTTTTAAAAAGTACTTTAAACAATGTAAAATTAAATAGACTTAAACAGCCAATCATACGGAATTCTTCCTATGGACCTAAGTATCGTCACCAAAATCAGCTACGTAATTGCTTTTTAAATTTCAATCTGCGCACAAGAATAACGGAATTGTGAGATTACGAAGAAATAATTTTTTTTTTTTTTTATATATTTTATTCAACTTATTAGAATTTAATTATTGTTACGTACAAATTCTAAGTCAAATTACATTCAATTCGAATGTATAAAATGCATTTATATCCAAATTCAAATTTTATTTAATACACGCATTCATTTGTAAAGCTTTAAATTTGAATTTAATGCTACTAATAAAAGGTGTTATCCGGCAGCTTACTATGATCGTACCAACAGAATAATTCGAGTTCTTTTGATGTTGATTGCATCACCATCAAACAACTTCGTTATTTGATGATGACGCAATTATCACCAAAAGAACTCGAATTATTCTGTTGGTACGACCATAGTAAGCCACCGGATAAAACCGTTATTTTAACCCTCTATCCAAGTTCTTTCATATTTGTGCTACATATTTAACCGTATTCTACTCAAGAGTTAGATTTCTTTGGTTAACTTTCTGTTTTTATAGAGGTTCTATTGATCATTATCTTGATTTTGATCTTTCTAGATCTTGATCATGATCCTTAACCCCAGAGCTCCGTTTTACTCTGCTATAAACAACCATTATACTGTATTTATAGGAAAAACATTTTTTGAACTCAAGTGATTTATGTCAATAAAAAGTTAAGTTGTACAACGTTTAAAGGATCCTGAAATAGATATTCATTTATCAAAAAAAGATCCAACTTCAACTAACCTGATTTCATTCTTGTTTAGACGGTTTTATTAAATTAAAATGTTAGTATGTGGATAAGTTTCGAATCATAAATTTAGTAATAAATATCAATTTAGGCTTTAATCTTCATGTATATATTAGGATGTATATTTAATTATATTTCTATATATTTTGTAAAAAGTATATATCAATAAAAAAAAAATCAATTCCTAAAGTTCAGTTACTTATTAAGGCCGTTCTCAAGCGCCTCCCTCAATGTAATTAGCTAGTGATTGAGGTCGCGACAATCAATTGAAATAAAGATTGCGATCGATGCTTGAGCTATCTCTTTCTCCGATTTCCATTATGGCTACAAAAAGGGGATTACTTAGTTACCTAAAAATTTAGCACCCAAGCCTTTGGTGTTTGAAATTTGCCTTCAGCCATCCTCTTAACAATTTCACAAATAACAGCAGCCATATTTGGCTACAAGTCATTACGGCAACAATCATATTCGACAACGCAACTTTATATAGATTCGTTAAACGAAGTGATATCGAAACATAGTGAAGCATGAACGTTATTTTAATAAAATATATACGACATATAAAAAAAATAATTTTTATTCTGATCATTAAACGTCTTTTATTTGTTATAAGAGTAGTCTCCATATTTTGCCTTTTTTTTTTTTTGCTTAAAACACAAGATTTCGCTAATGTAGCTTACATAAATGCCCTTTTATATAATAACTTCGCAGGTTAATAAAATATGAAGACGATTGGATTCAGATGAATTCAGTAAATATGTTATTGGGCAGAGCGAAAGTTTCAGGTTTGCTTAATGCACTTTGCTGTAACGATCTACAAACTCGTGGCAAACTTGGGACGGTCCTACCTCTAGTTTTTGCTATGTAAGTTATGATACGAATCGACCAGGGCGGCCATAAAAAATACGGGTCATTTGGGTGGTGCCACTAGCATAATATGCAAATGCGATGCAGGAGGTTCTACCCAAATGATCCGCATTTTTTATAGCCGCCCTGGTCGATTCTATATGATCCAGCGATAAAAAGCGCAAATAGAGCTTAAAAGGGCTATAAGAGGGAAGAATATAATGTTCTTGATCAATAATTTTATCAAAATTTATATGTCGCAGGATCTTGAAATCTCCATTTCCGAGATCGTCGAGATCGTTAACTTTTCACTTCGCAGGTGCGATCGTCGAATCTAAAGATGTTTAATTTACCTAAAATGAACAACAAAATAGTTTCAGTATTTAGAACTTATAACCGAATAGATTTGCTTTATCCCGTTATTTACACATAAGTTACTTACTAATCGTTTATTTTTTTTTTCTAGCAGGTTCTAAGATCTAACGAATGTAAAGTATAAAAAATAAGCGGTTAGAGTTTTAGACCGAGGATAAAGTAGTCCTAGCTGTAGGTCCCTGTATTAATTCATGTAATTCATTTTACAAATGTAAAACATAAATTATTCAATAAAGACCGAGGCCAGGCCTCACTCTAATAAAAAAAATAAAATAAAAAAAAATAAGCGGTTTTTTGTCTTATAAAGTGGTTTTGTACAGTACATAATTTTTTTTTACCTATTTTTTAAAGTGATTGGTATCCTGGTGGGTCCCCGTGTAGAAAATTTTCACGTGATGCAATTAGAACGGCACGAAACTCTAGTTACCGTATCATCTTAACCGATCAGTATCATCTTCCTATAATTCTCCTTAATCTCGCCATTAACATTCGTTTACGCCGACCTTTTGATTTTCCTTTTATCATAACCTAAATAGCCATCCGAAGTTGATTCATTAAAGCTGGAAAATGCTAGGTTTTCGCAAAATTAGAACCAATAGTAACAGAAAAAAATGTGCTTGAGACTGAGCTAAAACAGACTATAGAAGAAAATGCAAAGTTAAGAGATGCTGAGCTCAATGCAA